CTCAACCACGGAGCGCTCTTCAGTCATCCTGTAATCATAGAATTGCTCCATGATGTACAGCTCAGTGCCAGCATCCGAGACCCCAAACTTGGCCTCGAGTGCATCCCACATATCTTTTCCATTATCAATTGACGCAAAAGCATCAAATATGTTCTCACTAAGAACACTCAAGAGAGCAGCCTTAAACAGAGTATCCATTTTCTGAAAGGCTTGTGCATGTTGAGCATCAAGCTCTCCTTCGGATTTGCCAAGAGTGGCGTCATAGCAACTCATGGTTTGAAACCATAAGACTGCTCTCAAGCGCCACCTCTTATAGTGGATACCCTCTAATATAGGAGGTCTCATGGAAGCAGCAAAACTGTTGGAAATATGCCCTAGAGGCAATAATAAAAGCATTATTATTATATTTCCTTATTCATGATAATTGTCTTTATTCATGCTATAATTGTGTTATCCGGAAATCGTAATACATGTGTGAATAACAGACACCAACATGTCCCTAGTAAGCCTCTAGTTGACTAGCTCGTTGATCAACAGATAGTCATGGTTTCCTCACTATGGACATTGGATGTCATTGATAACGAGATCACATCATTAGGAGAATGATGTGATGGACAAGACCCAATCCTAAACATAGCACAAGATCGTATAGTTCTTTTGCTAGAGTTTTTCCAATGTCAAGTATCTTTTCCTTAGACCATGAGATCGTGTAACTCCCGGATACCGTAGGAGTGCTTTGGGTATACCAAACGTCACAACGTAACTGGGTGACTATAAAGGTAGACTATAATAAGGTTTTTGGAAAATTTCTGTTTTCTGCAACGTTCCCCAACAAAAACCACTCGGGGTAAATTGCCTATAATAAGGTTTTTGGATTGTTGGAAATATGAGCAATTTACCAAATGATTTTATTAACAGAAATACTAGATAAAGTATAACCAATATAGTAGTGATAAAACAAGCCATGCGATTTGACAAAGAGAAGGTAAACAGCATCTTCATATATGAACTGTAATTAAACATATCTAGAGCAGATAGTATATCAAGTTGCATATATGAAATAGAGTCTAACATATCTAGGGCAAATACTAGAACAACGAACTGTAGCATGACCTCTAATAGAAAGGAGAAGAACATGTACGGGACAGCAGCAGCAGAAGCGCTGGACTTGGGGTCGGTGTCCTCGCCTGCCATGTCGTCGAGGAGGTCGTGGACGTCCGGGAAGAAGTCGTCGGTGACCGGATCGTCCGTGATGAAGCAGCCAGTAGTCGCGTTGAGCGCTCCCCAAAAACCTTATCACCCTTCTCCCGTACAGGACTCAAAAGGTGCGGTTTCGGAGGCCTACTGTCCCGACGTGCGGTGCATGCCGGGATGAAGAAGATAGCAGCAGCTCAGAGATGGAACCGATGGCGAGGGAAGGAGTAGTTCTGGTGCGTCTCTCTGGGAGGAACGACCTCCCTTTTATAGGCGCAAGAGAAGGAGGCGACCTTTCATATACCCGTGGCAAAATTTAGACATCGGCTCGGCTCATTCCCGCAACCCGCGGCGCGGCGCGACGTGGCGAGGCGGGCGGCGGAGGAGGAGCGCGCGTGGATGTCCCTCTTATTCTCATGCTCATACAAGTGGGAAAGAACCTCCCTTATAAAGAGGTCCAACTCCCTCTAAACTAGCAATGTGGGACTAAACTTTAGTTCCACCTCTTGCCTTGCACGAATGGGCTGCGTGGGCCTATAGGATTTATTAAGAATTTCTGAAACTGCTATTGGACTAGGCCCAAAATAGATAAAATTCTAGCACTCGTCACTGAGAGGTCCGCAGTTTGATTCCTCTGGAGCATGCATCTTTTTTCCTTATTTTTCCTGTTGCGCTACAGTGTCGACGGCGTCTGCCATGGGCCGGCTCAATAGGTTCGTCCTCTGTGCGAAGGCGCATCTTTTGCCGCAAGGTGCGGCGTATAGGAGCTCCCTCTGTTTGAGTCGATCCGTTGAAGTTACTCTTATCTTGTTGCGCGCTGGAGGGGTTGTTTCTTCTGTGGGCTGCATGGAAGAAATGGAAGAGGCAAACGAAGGATATGGCGCTGCTGTTTTGCCAGTCCAGCGACGCTCTGTTAGTCTCTTCCGTTCAATTCCTCGTAAATACTCCCTGCGTCTCTAAATATAAGTCTTCATAGATATTTTAGTATGGACCACATACGGATGTATATAGATGCATTTTAGTGTATAGATTCACTCGTTTTGTTTCGTATGTGGTCTGTAATGAAATCTATCCAAAAACCTATATTTAGGAATGGAGGAAGTAAATGTTAACTTCTTCCATTATTTTCATTAGTGAGTGATGTGAAGGGATTTGTAATCGAGTTTGACCTTTTCTTCTTCTTTTTTTCTTTTCTATTTTGACTTCATTCTTCTTTATTCATTTGTTTTAAATTGAAGAACTATTTTCACCGTTGTCTTTTGTTTTCTTTAAATGTCACACAAATCTTAATTGCGGGTTGTTTGCCATGCGCGTCGCGTGTTGTGTCGTACATCTGGCCATGTCTGTTTTGTTCATTCTCACTATGCCCTTGTGGCATGGTGGAGATTTTGTAGAGTCCACCCTCAACTCATAAATGGGCTCGCGGTTGTCCCACTTGTGAGTCCATTCTTGATTCGCAATGGGGTATGTGGTTTGTGTTTTCATCGTAGTTGTAAATTCATGCTTGATTCATAGCTGGGCATATGTTTTGTTTTTCATCCCAGTTGCAAGCTCATCTTGACTCACAATTGGGTCTGTGTTTTGTCTTTCATCCCTGTTGCAAGCCCACCGTTGACTCACAACTAGGACTGTAGTTTGTTTCATCCCATTTGCAAGTTGACCCTTGACTCGCAGTTGGGCTTGTAGTTTCATAGTGTCCCAGTTGCAAGTCCACATTCGACTCGCAACTGGGATCATAGTTCTCCTAATTTCAGGTTCACCCTCGATTCGCAATTAGGCATGTGTTTTGTTTTTCATCCTAGTTGCAAGTCCATCATTAACTCGCAACTGGGATCGTAGTTTGTTTCATCCTAGTTGCAAGTCGACACTTGACTCGCAAGTTGGCTCATTGTTTTGTAGTTGTCTTAATTGCAAGTCCATCCTCAACACGCAACTGGGATCACAGTTTGTTGTTGTTCCAGTTGCAAGTCCACCATCGACTCGGGATTGGGCTCATAGTTTGTTGTTGTCCCAGTTGCAAATCCACCCTCGACTTGCAACTGGGATGTGTTTTGTTTTTCATCACTCTCAACTCGCAACTCGTATCATAGTTTTATATACTTGCCTCAGACTCTGAGTTATAAGTCCACCCTCGACTTGCAACTAGGCTCATAGTTTTTTTTATCCCAGTCATCGTTGAATCGCAATTGCACCCGTGCTTTTATCTTTCATCCTAGTTGCAAGTCTTCCTTGACTCGCAACTGGGGACCGTAATTTGTTTTATCCCAGTTGCACCCTTCACTCGCGACTAGTCTCATAGTTTGTAGTTGTCTAAGTTGTAAGTCCATCCTCTAACTCGCAACTTAGCTCGTAGTTCTTCCAATTTCAAGCCCACCCTTTGACTCGCAACTAGTCTTGTGCTTGTTTTTCAACACGCAACTTGCCCCAATCCCTATCAAATTCCATGTCCAACCCCAAGATGTAAACTCACCCGACCCAGTTGCATGTCCAAGCCAAACATGCAACGCATGCTTGTCATAGTTGCATGTCCACTCTCGGCACAACTCGTTCCCAACCCAGTAACCCTATATATAATTTTTTTTGCAAATACATGTCCACTTTTGTAATATACACTGTATATTTTTCTGTATACATGAGGAACATTTTTTTACACACATTAAAATTTTTAAAAAATACATGACGAATAGTTTTTCCAATATAGGCCTGAGCATTTTTTTAGAATACATGGTAAACATTTTTCAAACCTATTGATCATTTTTCTAAATAGAATGAAACTTTCTTTATGCGACTAGTTGTTTTACATTGCATAAATTTTCTCTAGAAAATGTCATGATTTTTTTAAATGTATGAAGTTTCTTTTAAAAAATTGCTACGGACATTTTCTTTGAATGTTATGATTTTTTCCATTGTGTAATACATTTTTGTAAACATCATGAACATTCTTTTGAAATGTATGAACATTTTTTAAATGGTTCAAACCAAATTTTTATTGAAAATTTATTATTAAAATAATAATATAATAAATTTATTCATGTTTTAAAAATTGGTTGGAATCATCAAAAGTGCCCGCACTCTAAAAACTGTTCGGGGATTTTCAAAATTTGTTCGAGAAGAAATTGATCAGAATACCAAATTTTGTTCTTATTTCTCCGAAAAATATAGAATTATAACGTTTTATTCACATTTGAAATACACTTTTTGAAATTTTATAATTGTTTGTGTTTTCAAAAATATTCAACATTTAAGAAAAAATCACAATGTGTAAAAAAGGTTTCAAGAAACTTCAAGTGTGCCTTGTAATCTGGACCCGCCCTATGTTCTTGAACGTTTCCTGTTTCCCAAACAGCAATAGCATCCATCGGTTGTAGGCACTTTCCCAAGTACTCGAGGTCCTGAGTTCAATTCCTATTCAACGTACTGCATCGCTTACATTTGTTTTCGCGCTCCAGTCGGGAAAGCAACAAATAAAGAGAATGAACGACGCGGTGGGCTGATGTCACGCTCCAGTTGGGAAAAACAAAAATAAGACAACGCGGGCTGAACGACCGCTGACTTCTGCTGATGTCACAATTTAGATGTGAAGTAGTATCTCACATCTAGATGTTATATAGTCAGACCCAAAATATATTATAATCACATGAGATAAAACTAAAATTAGAAAAATAACGGCTCTGTGTCGCTGCAGAGGCGCAATCAACAAAACCTTCTTTTTTTCAAACAAAAAAGTTGCCATATTGATTGGATATAATTACATCATGATAATTAGGAGTACATTACTTTCTTTTACCATCAGGCACTATTTGCTCTCAGAATGTTCTGATATTACAAAGAATAAGGCCCCCATATTCTATCCGGTTCTTAAAGGCCACCATGTCTGTTAGTCTGTTCTCGCTCACTTTCTGGACAGCATAGTCATCGGCACAATAATTTGACCTCTCTTTGCTGATTACTCTGCTGAAACTCCTTAGATATTGACGAACATCACAATTGTCGACAGCTTTCACTGGCTCGTGTGTGAAAGAAAAACAAGAACTTTTGCTTCGTGGTGTGTCAAAATCATCACTAGAATTGTTTCTAGTTCCCAAACCAGGGGACTTGGCATGACTAAAGACAACACCGTCAGACACATCAGATCCAGTGATGCTCATTGAGCACTGGGTTTGGTTGTCAGATTCCTGGGAGGAGAAAAAAAAGGATTTGTTAATCTGTGGTTGAGATTATTCAAACCATCTGCATAAATCTTGGTCTGCTAAAATGCCTTGTGAGAAAGTTTAACATTGGTATTATCATATAAATCCATAAAGATTCAAAGTTGAAATGTAGACAATCCTATGAATAAGAACACCGCTGCAAATGGATGACAAACAGAGAGTGATGACCCCACCCCCACCCCCGCGTCGCCAACCCTAGGCGACACGAGGGGCGATCGCGCCGCCGGCCCTAAGCATCCTCCCCTCGTCTCCTTCGTCCAGCTGCCACCTGAGGCCTCCCCGGCAAAGTCTGGCCTATGATGGCGGGGCGGGGCCTTATCCATCGCGCGGTGGTGGCGATTTCTCCGGGCGACGGCGGCACATTGTTCGACGGAGATCCGGTGGCAAGGAGCGGCGGGATCCCTACGGTGTGCGTGACGGCGGCGGCAGCGGAGGCGCAACCTCCCCGCGGCGGAGATGCCCCTGTGGCGGCAGCCGGGATCGCGGGTCTTGTCTTGCCCAGATGGGCTTGGGCGGGCCGGCGGTTCCGGTGTGCATCTACAGGCGAGCGTGGTGGGCCTGGCGACGCCGCCTGTAGGCACCGTGGTGGTGCCATGGCCGGTCAGGCAGCGGCTGCTTGGATCCCTTGTGTCCAGTCCCCGGCAGAGATGGTGACAGTCCGTGCACGAGATGCTTGAGGGAGGATCTTCGAACAGATCTGTGTGAAAACCTGCTATCGGCTAGCTGCCAAGGCCGGCAGTGGCGGTGCTGTCTGCGTCGTTCCCTTCTTGAAGGCATCGCCGTGGAGATGTTGAAGGCCACTCTATGCTACCTCCGGGGGAAACCCTAGATCAGTAGATCAGATGACGACGGCGCTATGGTGTCGTTTCCCTCTTGGGGGCGTTATTCGTGGAGGTGTACACGGACCGAGGGACCAGTGGAAGGCTTTTTGGTGGAGCGGTGCTTCAGCTTACAGATTGCTGGCGGCGGATCTCGGCGGCATGGCGCAGTGGAGACTCGGCGTCCGATGCAAGGAGATGGACTCGCGGGAGGAGGAAGCTGTCTGGCGTCATGGTGGCGTCGATGGCAGGGAGGCCTGGCAAGGTCGGTGCATCAGTTCTTCTGCTCTGAGGATGGATCAATGGAAGATGGAGGTGACGGCCCTTGCAGCGTGCGGTGCTCACTAGCAGTGTGCCGGGCCGGTGTGTGACCCAATCCAGGTAGTGGCTTGGATGGGGCATCCGGCTTTAGATGTTAGGCTTCGGTGCGATGTCTGTTTGGTATTAGGCCCGGACATTCGGCGCACCTTCATCAAGGGGATAGGAGTAGCAACAGCGTTGGCAAGATGGTGGCTTCAGGCTTATTGATGTATCACCTTGTATGGTCTTTGCGAATAATTAATAAAATGGTTGCATGCATCGTCCAGATGCAGAGGCCGGGGGTACATCCTCCTTTTCCAAAAAAAAAAAGAGAATGATGAACCTATCAGATTCTAATATATGAAAATAAAGCATACTGTAGTTGAGTTTTCATGATCACCACAGTTGAGGTACACTTGGTTGGTTCTCATTGAGCCTCTAAGCTATAAAAATGAGCAGATTAACATAGTGCGCTTCTACAGTTTTATTTCAAACACATGTTCAGAATTTACTTTTTCTCTCTCTATTTCTCTACATTTTCAGAAATGGTTAATAGATATTCTGCACCAACACCCCAGAAGCAGATGATCAGAGCCCTTAGCATATTGCCATTTGTAGACCATGTAACACAGGAATAAATTCTATAACAATAACCAGGCTGTACCTGACAGTCTTAATAAAGTGTACCACCACTAGTCGTTGCAAGAAAACAAAATTGATGGCCAAACTTGAAAATCAAGACTCCAAGTGTGGTATATTGATTCACTGACCTCATTATAATTGTGTCGATCAGTTGGAAAGTGGGATCCTAAAGAGCTTGACCCCCCTTTGAGGAGAAATCTACTGTTGCTCTTTCGCGGGACAGTCCCACCTGAATTTTGATGAGGTTCCTCGAGTGAGGAGAAATCAGTGCTATCTAATGTTGAAATTGAAACACACTCCTCGAAGTAACTGATTGCCTCTTCAGCCAAATGCCTTGACACTCTCAATCGCTCTATACTACTCTGGAACCACAATACAGAGATAAAGGTCAGTTAAAACTTATAAGCGGGGAAATAAACAGCCCAAAATCATACGTTATCAGCACTAACCAAGAACTAGACAGCACTAGTAGATGTAGTCATATAAAATGGAGGACTAGCAAGTGAATTACCTTTCTCCTTGGTCGCCTTTTATGCGTTTCGGACAAACTTGGAACAGTCACTATGCCCTTTAGCATTCTACTCAGTTCTTGTTCGCGCTGCTCTTCAACAGCCAAATCTGCCCGCAGCTTTCGAGCACGCTCATGTGACTACAGACAAGTAACAAAATGTTTATATTTGTCGACAGCATAGAACTGAAGACCTAGCACAATACCCATAATATTTCCAGACCTGTTTCAGTTTTGATGTGTACTCAGTGATGTCAGGAGCCAGCTCAACAGAATCTGGATCAAACTCAAGAGGGATTTCTATTCCCTCCCATTGCAGCTTGGTCGCATTGTGCCTTTCGACTGAAACCAGCTGAGTAGCATCTGGATCAAACTCAAGAGGAATTTCCACAACATCTCTCTGTTTGAATTCTGTTGCATAATCACTTATATCCGAGACAAACTCAGTAGAATCCGGATCGAACTCAGGAGGAATTTCCAGAACTTGTTCCACTGGGACAGTTGAATGGCTCATTTGTGAGATGGCCTATTGATGAAACAGTAACAACACCGCAGTGAACAACTTAGAAGAAGAATATCAAACATAGTCTCAAATTACGCATTTGGTCAATAAATATCTGCATGTGAACTCCATGTTATGTTCTTCTTGCTTTCATAGTTTCATACTACGAACCCCTACTGAGACTTAGTTCTCTTTAAAGAGTACGCAGGCCCCGTTTGTTTCAGCTTTGATTGGATCCTGTTTGTTTCAACTTTATTGGATTCGAATCACATGTGGATTCGCTTCACTGGCAAAGCTGCCACTGAAGTACACTTTGAGGTGCTTCAGGCAATTGCACCGAAAATGGCCCGAATCCAGATTCACCTTCACCGGCAAAGCTATTCAAAATAGCTGTTTGTTTCAGATTCCAGAGCCAGCTTCACTGGCAAAGTTGAATCTGGTCCAAGATCTAGCTTCACTGGCAAACGAAATAGTTGTTTGTTTCAGATTCCAAATTCAGCTTTACTGGCAAAGCTAAATCTGGCCCCTGAAGCTCAAACAAACAGGGCAGCAATGCCTTTATCCACAAAATGCATGATCCAGTTTGATCTTATTCTATTTCTATCAAATCTCTCCGATAGGCCAGATAATGTGCTAACTTTCCGTATAAAACGTTAACAATTCTTTCACTCTCTGACGCCGGTGACGGGTGCTCGGCACCTAGCACTGGTACTCTTTTTTCCCGAAAAGGAGGTTAAACCCCCAGCTTCTGCATCATGTGATGCACACAACAATCCTTATTACTAATTAATCAGAGTACAAAACAAAGGCAACCACGGCCAAACCATTACAAGATATGGACTAAACACCAATGAGGCTACGACTAAGTCGACTTCTTCCGCAGCAACGCCTTCATTAAGGAATAAGCGCCCAGGTATTCTGGTACAGTGACACAGTATGGTTACTAATACAACCAGTGTGGATCAGCCAATGTGTGAGTGAAGTTTGGGACCAAGGCACTGTTGAAGATGTCATGTACAAAAACGGTTCAATCTAAGGTCCACAGTAGAAGGGCAACTCACATTGACAGATACGTATGACGAACTTGGAACTGAATTACGACTCCTCCAAGACTGCATTTTGCTTGATAAATCCACGGTTTCTACATCTGTCTGTGAATTTAACAAGAACAGAATCCTTCATTAGTAATACGAATCGCCAAGCTAACACAGCATAAACATTCCTAGACTCATCTGGACAGATAATACAGCAATCTGACAAAGAGCGGCTCGATTCATTTTTATTTTTATTTTTTGCAGGGAACCAGCACCACGAGGGCCTGGTAGACAGAAGTAGAAAGTACTGTCAAAGCTACCACAGGAGCGGGTGAACCCCCTATACCGGAATTGGTAATTGTTGCAGCTTGGTATGTGTGGTGGCAAAGACGCCAAACTGTGAACGGAGAAATGATACAAACCCCGGGCAGAACCACACTTGCTATCAAGGCGCTCTCCTAAAGGTTCTAACCAAACATAATAATTAGTTGCGGAAAAGGCCTAGCAGGGGCTCTATTAAAGTTAATGTGGACGCAACCTTTTTCCAATGATCTCTTCATGGTGCTATAGGGGCTATTGCACGTGGTGATCGTGGCCAGTTTATAGCAACTGCAACATGAGTAGTGCTGATTCAGTGGAGATTTTGTCCATCAAGCATGGTCTTTATTTGGCAGCGAGGATTGGATGCAACATTGCTCATATTGAGTTTGACTCTAGCTTTGCGGTGAAGTCCATGCAAAAACAGGATGATTACCATGGTGAGGAGATTGCAACGATCGCAGAATGCGATCAGTTGATTTGTGACTATGCAAAAGTCTCGTTTTCTCATTGTTTTCGGGAAGCAAACTCGGTAGCTGATTGTTTTGGAAAAGTTCTATCCCTGATTTTATTTCTCAACCTCTTGTAAACGACATGGCTATAATTTGAGAATAAAAGTCTGTCAAGAAAAAGTACTACAGTACTGCTCAACCTTATCTGTTCTTTTCCAATTATAAAGCAGCCAGAAAAGGTGCGGAATTTTCCAAACGAAAGTAAAGCTGTAATCTTTATCGGAGATGAAAAATCCCAGCTCAAAGCAGAAAGTCACCAACCACGGAGCCGCGGCACGGCCGTGCCTCACCGACCACCGACCGCGCCAGGGAAGCCCTGCCTCCACCACCGCCATCAGTGCCTGCCGACGACGGCGCCGAGGTGGCAGCGCGCCGACGCTGCGGCGGCGCGACGGACACCGACCGCGCCCTCCCTGAGCCGCGACCCCTGCTCTCCTTCCTCCCTCTGTCCCCAGAGTCCTCCGGCGGCGGAGGTGGAGAGGAGGCCCTCCCCCCGCGGTCGAAGAGCGGGTTGGTGCGGGTGGTGCCGGCGTAATCCCCGAGGAGACGGTCGCGGCGGGGCGCAGGGGTGACGCTGCGGGAGCGGCGGGGGCAGTGGGGCGGTGGCTGCACGGGGCGGTCGGCTGAGCCGTGGAGGTTGCGGCGGGTGGTGGATTTGAACGCCGACGACGCCATCCGCGGCGCCTGGCCTGGCTTGGCTTGGCTTGGCTTGCTGCTGGATTTTGGTTTTGGTGCGGAGGAGTCGAAGCTGGGAGGGAAACGACCGTGCGAGGGAGGAAAGGCGGAAAACGCTGAAGTTTTCCCCTCGTGGGGTGTGCGTGGTGAGCGGGTTTAGCTTAGCTGGCAATCACTAGTTTACTTTTACTCTCTGCGACTTAAAATGCTAGATCAACTCTAAAAATTACTACATCTACTCCGTCGGTCCCAAAATAAGTGTCTCTAACTTTGTAGGTGTCTCTCTCTTCAAAGCATCAAATATTATTAGGTGATTTCACCATAAATACGAAGCGTGTCACACATAATAAAAATTATATCGAAATTTCGAGACCATCAAATCAAACGATCACCACTGTCACCAAAACGAGCCATCGACGCGCTACTGTCGCCGCTGCCCTACCGAAGCCAGCTTGACCTTGTCAATGACAACCGATAAATTTCCGGGCATGTTACATGTGCCCCTAATAATCAGCGCCCCGGAGCCGCAGTCTTCATCGTTGAACCCTTGCATAGATCTGAAGCATCTGACACCAAATCTCGCCACCTGACGAGAAACCCTAGCATCACCGCCCCAAGGAGACGGCAGGAACCCCGGAGCCCTGTCGAGTAAGTCCAAACGGACAAGCTCGAGGAGGATCGGACCCCGAAAGACAATCTCATGGAAAGAAGTGTGCACTGCATGTGCACGCTGTAGAATAGGGATTAAACTTGACCAGTCTAGTAACTACATTGGGCATGATTCCATCAAAATCGCAACAAAAACCTCAACAGTAATGAACTTAAAAGTTTTTTCTCGAATATGCATGAGTGTGCATATCATATATTTTTAAAAGGGGAGGGTCAAGAGCTGTTCAAATCCACCACCCGCCACAACATCCACCTAACCAAACCACTGAAGAAGAAGTCTAGATCACCTTGTAGTAGCCCATCCGCTCTCCAATTCCTCCCTTCTCGATCAATATTCCTTAGAGTCATCTGGAGCGACGGAGTAGCTCCATCGAAGACCATGTCGTTTATGTGCTGCCAAAGCTCCCATAATCCAAGCATGATGATCACCCTTAGCTCTCGTAATGAGCTTAAAGCTAGGGGCAATGTTACGGTGTTTCCACCATGTGTGAGCATTTTGACCTAGGTGTTCCTGCATTTCATTCAGATAAGTATATCCCTATAGCCAAGCTTATATTGCATGTAATGCATAATGAAGTAAAGTATGTGTTGGAACTTGGAACACCTTGTGAAGATAAGCCTAGTTGATTGAATAGAAAGCCTTCAATATCAATTTTAGTAAGATGTTTGGCATGGTTGCGCGATGAAGATCTTCTGTCAGGTTTTGCACACACACGAAGTTGTTGTGGATGCACCTCTTTTGCATGAACAGTTGAATACACTATAGCACATGAAGACTAATGTGGGAAGGATGAGGCAGAAGGTTGGCAATTAGCTTGGAGAAAATCTTAGAGATGTTCTGGATCAAGCTAATCAGGAGTCTCCAACCTAGGAGGCGTCCACCTTCGCAGGGAGAAGGATGACATTGGCCGCGTTAATGAGGTTAGAGCAATCTGTCCTGAGGTAGGCAAATTGCGGTATTGTAGCTACAACATCTGCATTGATGGTGTTCCAACATAATTTAAAGAAGCTTCCATGAATCTGCCAAGGCCAGATGACTTGACCAAAGGCAAGGAGAATATTGCCTCACTAACCTCATTCTAGGTGAATAGAGTGTCGAGGTCTGACATGCCATGATGGTTAGTATCTAGGTTCTCTTGGTGCAAAACTTTTTGTTGTTGCATGTTCTTGGCAAACATGGGCAACCCGACACGATGAGTCCGAACCTGAATCTCGACAGTCAGGCCAAACTGTTTTGGCCTGAATCAAAAGCCTGGAAAGACTCGAAATACCTTTAAAATATGGTTCTAGTAGGTGGCTTATAATATCATATTTACATACCATGTAAATGATTAAAAAAATTATATAATACAAAAAGGACATTTTTTAATTGTTTTGGGCCGAGTTGTTAAAGCTCGGGCTTGGTTTTTTGGGGTCGAATTTTTAAAAGCCCAACCCAAGAAATACCTAGCTATGGTTCTGACAAAAGATGCAATAGTTTGGCTTAAAAAATATGTGTTTTAAAACAAGCATGAAGAAAATAAACATTGTTATGTGAACATATACTTAAAAAAATCAAAGTCACGTTCATAAGCACATGCCTCATTAGAATCATATAATAAAAGTCATAGTACAAGCCACGTACACATCGACCCGACAAAACAGAAAAGATCACACAATGTTAGCCTTTGCACAGAAGAACACCAGCCAAGGAAGAAAAATACAATTAAGACCGAAGAATCCTCTGAGCTTGACAACAATGTCCGTCACCTGCCTCTGGCGCCACCGCAGAAGCCACCAAAGAAAAGAAAATAATAGATCAGTTTCTCACCCGAACTCGACGCGGCTCCATCGCTGATATGCAGTTTTGCGGGCCTCCAAGTTGGCTCGCCAAAGGCAAAACCATTACCGTTAAATGAATCGGACCAAGCAACACCCCGGACACGCCATCAAACTCCAGATCTGGCACCCACACACGGATAAGACGTCGGAGGAGGAAACCATCCACAGACCGCGAACCCAGTACAAGATCCACCATTTTCCAGATGTCGTCGATGCAGACCACAATCGCCATCTACTCCTGGACTACCTGCCAAGCTTTGCGCCGCGCTGGAGCAAACACCGTCGCAACGACGAAGCCCGAGGACATAGTTCCACCATAAAGATGTCGCCGCCGCCCGTCATCCTTATTTGAATAGACTGGTTTTCAAATCCATTCACAACCATGGAACCGATCGCCTCGTTGGGAAAGGATATGAAGAATCTTTATTCAGCATCGCCATCGTCGCCGCCGAAGCAAAACGATGAACAACCTAAAAAACTAATATATGAAGATCTAAAAAGAATTACACATATGGATCCGACGACCCCCCTCATTATCAACTATCGAGGTCGTCAGCGAAGAGAAGCCGCCGGAGAACAGCGGTGGAAGGAGACGCCCTGGCGCCCGGCTGACACAAGATTGCCTCTTCATTTCTTTCTTGTGTTCGTTTGCGTGATCATTATCCAATGCGCACGGTTGACTAGCTCAGGTGTAAGTGCAGCTTCGTTGCATATAGAGAGAGGAGATTATCAGGGGATATTAACTCCTAAATGCCTCATGATACCATTTAAAAAATGCTTCATAAATTTCTAAAAATAATAATTTAAGTTAACGAGGGATGTGGCTGCAATCGCTAAGAATTTCACGTCCAAATTTGTTTTTTTTTAAAAAAAAATTACCCTCGGCCCCTGCATCAAGCGACGCACATAACCATTTTTATTGCATTGTTTAACCAGATCTTACAAAATAAATACATAGATTAATTCAAAACCATCTTTTAGGTGAAAATTATCGCCCTATCTACAAGATTGATGAAGTGCGCTGACTCGTGTCACGCACGCCAAGAAATCTGGTGGACTCACCAAGCCGCCCGCGGGCTAGCCAGGAGCAGCAACCGGTCTAGCAGATCCTCAGCATGCACTACATGCACACGCTGTAGAATCCGTCGCCGTCTTCTTTCGCAATCCCATTTTCAGGAGCAATTGATCTTGCTAGATCCTTCTGTCATCGACGCCACCATGATGCCGGGCAGCGTCAGCCTCCCGCGCGCCCATCAAACAGTATCCAGCGTCGAGACCCCGCTGCACCTTGCCGTCAAGACTTGTCGTCGTCGTTGTTGTAGATGGCACGCCGCTCCACCTTAGCCACCACACGAGAAGCATACGAAGACCTTTGTCCAGCCATCAAGCCAAACAGTTGTCCCTTCGGCCGATGTACAACCCCAAAGATTAGGCCCACATGAGGGTGACCATGCAGGAACATCGCCAACATCCGATGCAGAAAACCAAATTTGGGATTTCCACCGGGACACACATGGAATGCAAATTGCCCCACAACGCCTCAAACGAGGTAACGACGCCCGCGGGCGTCGTAGCCGAGGACGAATGAAGCTTTCACTGGCAGATTTGTGCCCATCCTTTGGGTGGACCACCAGATCGATCTCCTTAGTCATCCAACACGCCCATGGATGACGTCTGCTGCCGGGAAACCGCACGACTGGAGACGGACCACGGCCCGGAACCGTTGCCCCACCTGGGTGAGCTATCGACGGCTGAGGGGCCTCGCCGTTGCACCGCCGACGCCAGACGATGCACACGTTCAGGACACCCACGCGGACCTCCACCTCCACCGCATCCTGAGCCGCGGCGGAGGAAGCCCCCCTCCCCCCTCTCCCCCGGCTCCGCCCCCGTATGGGCTTTGCCCCGCTGAGATCCTGCAGCGGCGAGGAGAGAGTCGATGGCAGCTCGAAGCCCTAGATTAGATCGGTAAGAAGGGGATCGGAAGGGAGGAGGCAGAGGAGGGAGGCTGCTATGTTTTTCTCAAATAATAATAATAATAAGACACCATTCACGCGAGAGGTCCAAATTCGAAATGCACATTAAAAAACAAAAAGGACAAATTCAAATGTGAATAATGGCATTTTGACTTTTGTCTTTATGTGACGTTGTTTATGCTGGATTTTTTTTCCTCAATGTGTATTTCGAATTGTGATTTGAATTTTTTTAGGGATTGTACACCCATGTGATTTGATAATCCACAATTATTTTTAGAATTTTTGAAATATTTGAAATTGAACTTTTTAAAATGGTATCATGGTAACACCTAAGGGTTGGTATGACCTCATATTCTGCATAGAGAGAGCCCTAGATTGCGTGGAAATGATGATAATCCTAGCCATGGAAGTACTTGACGAGTGCATATGGTCTCGCCGTGGAAAAAGAGTTCGAGCTCGAGGTCAGGTGATCCAGTCATTCCAACACCCCCGGTCGGGCTTGTGTATTTCGAATTGCAATCTAGGGCTCTCTCTATGCAGAATATGAGGTCATACCAACCCTTATGTGTTACCATGATACCATTTTAAAAAGTTCAATTTCAAATATTCTAAAAATAATTGTGGATTATCAAATCGCATGGGTGTACAATCCCTAAAAAATTTCAAATCACAATTCGAAATACACATTGAGGGGGAAAAAAGAATTTCCAGGTCGTGCTGTCAAAAAGGCTGGAAAAAACAACCTCATATTCTACATAGAGAGAGCCCTAGATTGCGTGGAAATGGTTATAATCCTAGCCATGGAAGTACTTGACGAGTGCATATGGTCTCGCCGTGGAAAAAGAGTTCAAGCTCGAGGTCGGGTGATCCAGTCATTCCAACACCCCCGGTCGGGCTTGTGTATTTCGAAATACACATTGAGGAAAAAAAAGAATTTCCAGGTCATGCTGTCAAAAAGGCTGGAAAAAACAAACGTAGTACAGATTTACTTACTCTTGGTGGAGATGCTTACCATGATACCATTTTAAAAAGTTCAATTTCAAATATTCTAAAAATAATTGTGGATTATCAAATCGCATGGGTGTACAATCCCTAAAAAATGAGGAAAAAAAAAGAATTTCTAGGTCATGCTGTCAAAAAAGAATTTCAAATCACAATTCGAAATACACATTGAGGGAAAAAAAAGAATTTCCAGGTCGTGCTGTCAAAAAGGCTGGAAAAAACAACCTCATATTCTACATAGAGAGAGCCCTAAATTGCGTGGAAATGGTTATAATTCTAGCCATGGAAGTACTTGACGAGTGCATATGGTCTCGCCGTGGAAAAAGAGTTCAAGCTCGAGGTCGGGTGATCCAGTCATTCCAACACCCCCGGTCGGGCTTGTGTATTTCGAAATACACATTGAGGAAAAAAAAAGAATTTCTAGGTCATGCTGTCAAAAAGGCTAGAAAAAACAAACGTAGTACAGATTTACTTACTCTTGGTGGAGATGCGCGGGATCAAACCCCGTGCCTCTCGCATGCAAAGCGAGCGCTCTACCATTTGAGCTACATCCCCTATACAAATATTATACGTGACTTACTTTCTTGTTCACATTGTTAGCGCGTAAGTTGAACCATCATTATATCTACGAACTGATGGGAATCTTCTTTGTCCTCGCTCGTTTCCGTGCAAGATTACCTCACGCGCTCCATCATAATCTAACGACCAATCTCTTTTCTCCCTACTTCTTACCCATGAGCGGTGGAGCTACAAATTATAGGTTTAGGAAGTTACATTTGAGCAACTGGACAAGAGTTATCATATTGATCCGATCGCTATAAGAATTGTCAATTTGAAGATTTTGGCAAAAAAATCTTGATTGGTCATTCCGCGCTCGATCGTCACAATTCATGGAGGCTGCTCCAAATCAAGCCCGTCAGCCTCCATGTTTGAACATCTTCAATAGATGATGCAAAATATGATAGCTGCCCAAAAACAGTGCTCAGGCACATGCCCTATCCCAATATGGTGCTGCAATAGTTTTGGGTAGACACATATTTGGCCGCTCGTGCTGCAAACATACAGCAGCTGCGTCGCTGTCGCAAAACTAAAAACCATAGCCGCGCACACACCAACCACCACATTGAAATTTCCTCCAGCCGAACCCGTCTCCTCCCCTTCCCACCACCGTCCGGCCGATCCCGCCACTTCCAACGGTCGCTACAACCCTGCGACCGCGCAGATTCAGGACCTGCTGCCACTCCGATTTCAGCTGATTCCGCCAGTAATCGCCCCTCCACCACCAGTAATAGCCGCATCAACAACTGATGGTCGTTGAGGTCGACTAGTACCCGCTGCAGTGCCGCTGCTAACCATATGACAATCGCGACCGAGCCGAGCCACTGCTCCATCGTAGCTCTTGGACGGCACGGCGACGGTGGTTGTTGCCACAACCTTGACCTCCCTGACATCAACGAGGTCATCCCAAGGCCATTACTACCAAGCGCAACCACCACCTCGACCCCGACGAGCAGCCGACTGGAATCTTCCTTCATGCACTCTAGATGTTTGAGGAAAAGTCTCAAGGTAAAAAAAAAATTCTTAGTTTTGGTGTTGCGGCATCGGAGTAGTTTGTAATGAAATTATTGTTTTGTAGATGGGCTCATTTGAATCCTCTACGTGGGATGATTCCTGGCTCGAAGATGATTATGACATAAATGAAGAGGAGGACATTGCTTTGGTCTTGATGATGCACAAGAACAAGAGGCCGAACCATGCTGGTTCCATTTTTGGCCATTAGGTGATTCATAGGATGAGGCAAGATGGACGCGATAGATTGACTCTCAACTATTTTGTTCCAAATGTTGTGTATCCAGAGCAATACTTTCAATGTCGATTTAGGATGTCTCCTGATTTGTTCCTTCACATTGCTAATTTTGTGAAGCAATATAATCGGTCCTTTGAGTAAATGAGGAATTGAGACGGAGATCTTGGCCATAGCATTATCCATAAGTTGACGGCTGCATTGCACATGATGACATATTGTGTTCCAGCCAATTTCATTGATGATAACTTTTCAATAGGAGAGGGCACTTCAATCTTGTGTGTGATGGTTGAAGTGTTCAGGCAAGAGTATTTGAGAGCAGCCAATGCTCATGAGACTCAGAGCATTTTGGAGATGAACAAAGCACGGGGGTTTTCAGACATGGTTAACTCAATTGATTTCATGCACTCGAGGTGAAAGAACTATCTCTGCAACATGGCATGGATAACTCAG